CACTAGCCGATACGTCTGCCAAACCCTTTGACATAAACCGTATCAGTACTACGTATGAAATAATGTGAAATGTCACAGTTTTCTAACGCATGCGATAGCGCTGCGCAAAAATAATGCACAATCAGACGTTACTTGTGTTTCTCACCTTAAACATGAGTAGGGTTCAAAAGGACCCTTTTTGTTTGACTTCAATTTCACAAGTAGTAAAATTTTATTATAGATAAATGTTGTTTTATGCGTAATCCTTTTATGAGGAAATTCGTACTAAGTACATACCAATATTAATACTGCGAAAGTTTGAATGTATATGTATGTTCGTTATGTTACCTCATTATCATGCTCAAATGGCTTGACGGATTAGGAGGAATGCTTTATATCCCATACCCTTTATTTTCTTACACTTTTTTTTGTTTTATAGTTGCAGTTTACTAGTCGTATTGTAAGGAAATGTTTTGCTAAAACGTGCCAAATTATATAAGGTTCTATTAAATTCACTGCATATATTTTCAGGGCCTATGTTCTACCCGCAAAATTGATCAACTATTCCCAATGAACATAGGTCGAAAGATGAAAAAAAATTTAGACCTCCAATACAAAATGTACCAGTCAGTCAACCAAGTCAATTTGTTGTTCTTTTTATATTTCGACCTATGTTCATTGGGTAAAATTATTTAGTTTTGCAAATAGCACATACTCTAGAAATATTTGCACTGAATTTAATAGAAACTTATACAGGTAAGCTATGTAAAGTAAGCTGAAAACTGAGTATAATAAACACTATCAAAAGTGCTAAGTCATTTCATGCCGTGCCTATTATAAATTCAGCCTCATACTACACAAATAATAAATCAATTTTCTCATGAATAAGCAAACAACATTAGCATATAGATTCAAAATGAGGCGCACTACCGTTTAAGTCATTAATCGGGCCTTAGTGCGGTTTAGCGGAGTTTAACATAAAGGTCGTTGGACAAACAAGTGGAGTGTGTTGGCCCAACTTTAGCCAATTTGGCTTTACCTTTATTAGCCACGACACAGTAGGAAAAAATATAATAAGAGAATACGGTAGTGAAACTTCATATGAACAATATTCACGCACATAGACGCACGACGCCGCTTTACGGCTTCTCATCGACTCTTGCCCGGTGGTAGTTAGGATCACTACGCCTAGGAAACGTCTGAATAATTTACTATACATACCTCTGTACATACATCATCATTATCTTCCTGCCTCTTACTCCGATTACTTAGGGTCTCAGCGCAACATGTTTTGTTTGAACATAAAATCATGCCTATATCCCTTTACAATTATGCGTTGACGACCGTTAAAATACGATCGCTATCGTTACGTCTAACACAAACGGCTTTTACTTCACCTGCTGGACCGACGAGAAAAAATGGAGTGATGAATCTCATGGCAACGAGACTCGGCACGGAACAAATTACTCTTATGAGGAAGTAGTGTGAAAGATATTTCTTTTTCTGTGTTATAAGATTTCAAGTCTGTACAAAAGAAAGAGTTGAAAAGTGGATCAAGAGACACAGAGACTACCTTGACGCTTCGAGTGAAAGAAGATAGCAACGGAAACGGGTCGAGTTTTCCTACTGCTATAGCATATCTTACTTACTGTGACCAACCTTTCCCCTCCTCCCGTCTATCTACCCCGCGGCGGCCCTAAGTGAGGATTAGGGCCGAAAGGTCAAAACTCGGAATGTCAAACTAGGGAAACAAATATTTCAAAAGGGCGTTGAAGGATGAAAAGGTTTTGTTTCCGTGTAATTTTACGGGACGCTTCTGACTTTGTCAAATAAACATTCAATGTTGGAAGTTTAATTTTTAAGTCATCGTAAGCTGATTTTATTTAATTACCTACATAACAAACAAATTAATGCTAGAACCACTTTAAAGTATAGGTACCTTGTATTTTGGGAGTTTAAATATAACTTTTACATTTCCGCGGTTTTGCAGTAAAATGTACAGTATACTTATTTTTATTTAGTTTTATTTTATTTTTTGTTTCTCTAGGAAACTTACAGCTAACATAATTACAATAAATCAACACAACAATATAAACTTATAGCCAATTATACTCTAATTAATTAATCTGTGTATCAAATTTCACTGAAATCCTCAAGCCGTTTGAGCGCAAAGGGATAACAAACACATGTTAAGGTAAAGTACGGATAGATGCGCCGTTGGGATAGTTGCGCAGGTTTCGAAAACACTATGTTCTTGTGAATTTCAGCACTATTGCTTATTAAAACATAGTAGTCTTCCTCCTGAAAGCCTAAGTACCACGTTAATTATTGGAGTAATTGCACAATTTACGCCAGTTTAAGCAAAAATCTTCGGTAGCGTGGTCAAACCGGGCGTCGAAATTATTTTAGCACATTTTGTTTTTCGGGTATCTTTTCTCACGATTGTAGAATCGCTCACATTTTTATTTCCTCATATGCACTACTTTATAAAGTATGTGCCCATTTATTAATTATTCCAAAATATCAAATCATTATTTTTTTATATAAATGCGCAAAGATCCGTACCAAAAAGGATATTTGCGCAGGTTTTTTCGACGGATAGATGCGCTTTGGGGGATAGTTGCGCAGATTGATATTTTTGTTTATTTTAGTATGTTGCAGATGGATAAAATGCTTCTAAATTACAGTCTAGATATGGACGTTGTTCAACATACATTTTTATGCTACCTACGCGTTGATACAATTTTTTTACTAAAATAATGACTTAGCACTCAATAACTTTAGAAATAGTAATAATATTAAGGTTCGCAGGCCTATTTGATTTTTAAAATAAGTATTTAATCAACGATGACATAAACATAAACATAAAATAAGTATTTAGCAAACGAATTTCAAGTTGGTTTGATTTAAATAAAGTACAAATTTCATAGTAAGTCACCTAGGTAATCTTCAAAGCGCAAGTATCCCCCCATGATTTTTTAGTGCTGCGCAACTATCCGTGCGGGTGCGCGACTATTCCTTTTTCAAGAGGTCAAATAAAACTGGATTTACATCAAAACAATAAAAATTTAATTCATGTATTAGGGCTTTAATGAAAGATGAAAGATCAATCCTTTAATCTGTAAAGATAATTTTGTAAATAAGTTCTTAATTATTGAGTTATAGAGCATTTTCCAAAAGGTGCGCATCTATCCGTACTTTACCCTATACACACGTCGATACAAACTCCCAGGTTTGCAATATAAGTATGAACCTGACTGAACAATATTACTGTGATTTTCTTCTACAATTTCAGTAGACTTGCTTGTCGCTTGTCAGAAACAGAATCTAGATAGTTATTTTGAAACGCGCTGTCTTGGCAGGAACATTAATTATGCCTTTAAGTGACGTTTATTGTACAGTTAATACTATTATTATGACGGTATTCCTGACAGGCTCGTTTAGGGCTTTAAATGATAAAGATTGAACATTTTGAAACAAAGCCCTTTTCAAAATAATTTTCTTGAAAAGATTGATGACTGTAGAGTAGAGTAGGCAAAAGAAGTACTTAGTTATTAAAATATCGTACACCTGGCTAAGTTCTTGTATGCCTAAGTAAAGTTAGAAATACGTGTAACGTACGATTGTACGTTATCTTTGACCAGCGCATGCGTTTTACAATTTATTTCCATACAAATACGGTCTACGTCAAATGGTTTGACAGACGCATCCAATGACGCAGCATCGTGCGATGTGCAGCTCTATCAGATGCGTCTGTCAAACCGGATGACATACACAGCGCAAAATCGGACTACCCATCAACCTCAAATCCTGTAGTCGGTTCTTATGACACCCAAAGGAAACTCATGGGATGTTGCTGTTCTAAGCCGGCATCACTCGGCAAGAGAGGTCATGAGAGGTCAGTGAATTTTATTCCAAAAAACGAATAACCCACAGTTCGTCATAGTTGTCTTATCTATCATCATCATCGTCCTGTCCTTATTCCAAATCATTTGGAGTCATCGCAACATGTTTTTAGGGTTTCGTAGTCTACTAGATACCCTTATAGTTTCGTCATGTCTGTCTGTCTGTCTGTCTGTCTGTCTGTCTGTCTGTCTGTCTGTCTGTATGCCGTGCCCTTATAACTCTGTCAGTTTTGGAGGTATCGACATCAAATTTGGTATGAAGATAGATCGTGTTGACCCAAACTTAGAAATTTTGAGAAAAAAAATATTTCATTTGTTTTTTGGACCCCCTCCCCATACATGTGAAAGGGGGGCAAAATTTTTTTTTTCTCCTTTAATATTGAGTAGGGTATTGTTGAATAGGTCTTTTAAAATTAAGGTGAGGTTTCTTTGAAACAAAGTCTCTAAAATGTTTTTGTCTCGAGATATTTGCTTTTAAAAGGGGCGTTTTTGTGCCATAATTTTTTCCAGCTGTAACTTCTAAAGTACGCATGCTAAAAAATTGAATAAAATATGGAATATAGTTCTTATTATGAAGTTTCCATGAAAACTATGACAAATACTGTACCACTTAAGATTAAGAAAATATCGAAGTTTTTCAAGTTGCGGTTGGTCACCATACAGCTGCAAACAAAGCAGCAACAAAATTAACTTTGTAACGCCGAAAGACCTGATATTTAAACGTTGACTACGAAACCCTATTTGTGAGCGTGTCTGACACGCTCTTGGCCGCTTTTTTTGGAATGTGCTTACTTACTTATTCTTGATCTCTTTATCCATTAGAAAATCTGGATTTCCCTTAGAGCAAAGCTAAGTGAGTAAAGTGATTACCTGAAGTAATATCTCTCCCCGGCATCGACTGGTTCATTAGCGTTGTCGTGAATATTTGAAGCGCTCGCCGTCCCGACCGCCGCCGCACTAAGCACTGCATTTTCTAACAAAAACCTTTCTCTTGAATTATTTTATCTGTTACAAAAAAACCGCATCAAAAGCAGTTCCGTGGTTTAGGAACTGTTAGTTAATTCCACGACAGAAAAATGCAAAAAGCGACTAGAAATATAGATTTAAAAATTCACTAGCGACCGTCGGGACTTGAACCCGGGACCGTGGGGTAACGTACCACCGCTCTGCCATCTGAGCTACAGACGCCTGGCAGACCCTGATGATTTTCAGAAATCTTAATACATCGCAAAAAGCTACTTCATTTATACAATTTATTGATGATGCCTAACTATTTTTAGATCTCTTTATCCATTAGAAAATCTGGATTTTCCCCCTAGAGCAAAGCTAAGTGAGTAAAGTGATTACCTGAAGTAATATCTCTCCCCGGCATCGACTGGTTCATTAGCGTTGTCGTGAATATTTGAAGCGCTCGCCGTCCCGACCGCCGCCGCACTAAGCACTGCATTTTCTAACAACTTTGGAAACATAGGGAAGTATATTTTGGACGGTGAAGCTTTTGTTCCAATTTGTTCTTTTCGTTTTGTTTCTTTATCTGTGTTTTATTGTGCAATGAAGTATATTTTGATTTGATTTAATTCTTTGGCAGTGTGATGCCGGCTTAGAATAGCATCACCCCATTTCTACTCGTGGGTGTCGTATAAGGTGACTTAGAGGTGGATCCAGGGAATGGGCAGCAGCGGCATGACAATAGAACACCAATCCGCCTGCCAACCTTGGTAAGTATGGCAATACTCCCCAATTGGGGACAGTGGACAGTTGTGATTGTATTAGTATAGTAGATAGAAACTTTCCTTTGGAATTATTTTTGACTGGAGGAACGACGTCGCATGGTTTTTCTTTTGGCTAATTTAATAATATGTAAGAATTAAGTAATATCTCTCCCCGGCATCGACTGGTTCATTAGCGTTGTCGTGAATATTTGAAGCGCTCGCCGTCCCGACCGCCGCCGCACTAAGCGCTGCATTTTCTAACAACTTTGGAAACATAGGGAGGGATATTTTGGACGGTGAAGCCTTTGTTCGAATTTGTTCTTTTGGTTTTATTTCTTTGTCTGTGTTTTGGTGAAGCTTTTGTTACAATTTGTTCTTTAGTTTTTTTATCTGTGTTTCGTTGTGCAATGAAGTATGTTTTGATTTGATTTGATTCTTTGGCCGTGTGATGCCGGCTTAGAATAGCATCATCCCATTTCGACTCGTGGCGTGGGTGTCGTACGAGGCGAGTAAGAGTTGGATTCAGGTAATGGGCAGCAGCAGCAGCAGGTTCCCGGACAATAGAATCAGCAACAAATGTAATTTTTTTTCGTAATACGACCTGTGCTCCTTGGGGAAAGTTATTCTTTATCTCACAGCCGGTTCAGAGTTTTCAATATCGGTCACTAGTAAAATTTCACACAATTTGTCCCCGTGTGTTTAGTGCAACATCCTCAAGCTAATTACTGCAAACACTCCAGTAGGTACGCTGCACAATCCCGGTTGGCCTCGGCTCTCGATTACATTGGATTTGTTCAGTAATCGACTCGTTAGGGAGTCTTCTTGCAACGCATCGCCGATACTTTGTTATGAATGTTATAATGGAACACTAGGACATGATATTATTGCGAATATTTTTACCAATATCGTGCTATAATGACAATATAACTAGGGATTGCAATCCCGCAGTGCGGGATCCGCAATCCCGCGGGATCCCGCGCCATTTTTGGCCTTGCGGGATCCCGCACCTTCAAAACGCGGATCCGCGGATCCCGCACATTGAAAACGAATAGCGAAAACTCGACGTTCAGTTCCTAAAAATATGTCCTATTTATCAAAACATTCTAAACTATTAGCTTAGAAGCTGCAAGAGCATTTTCTTCTCTCGTAAAAGAATTTTTGAATTCTCGTAAAACCATTAATACTCTTTAATTTAGAGCATTCTTCTATAACTTATCAGTTATCTATACGCTAGAGTGAAAGCACTCTGACACCAGGGTTCTTGTGTCGTTGAACGACTCGGTATCCCTCATGAAATTAAGAAGTTAAGTTAGTAAATTGAAAATTTGTTATTTGAGTTTTGAGTCTTATGAAAGTTTTGATCTGAACTGAAGTGACTAATTTGCCCCCTAATTTTAATTTTTAGTCAATACAATATAAGAATTAGTACATATTACTAAAACAACCTGGCTAAGGGTGTGTCAGATACGCTCACAAATAGGGTATTGCAGTTTACATTTTAAGTTTTTCAGCGTTACAAAGTTAATTTAAACCGCAGATAGAAAACCTTTTATATTTTTCTTAAAACTTGATTGATATTTTTCAGTATCCGTTATATATATATTTTTCATGATAACTTTAGATTGAGACCTATATTATTTATTTTTATCAAATTTATAGCCTCTATGCTTTAGTACTTACAGCTGGAACAATTTATGACTCAAAAACGCCCCTTTTAAAAGCAAATATCTTGAGATAGTAATATTTTCTCCCGAAGTTTTAAATACTTATTCAACGATACCCTGCTCAATATTGCAGACAATAAAAACACTTCTTGCCTGTCACATGTATGAGAGAGGGTTTAACAAAATAATATTAGCAGTAGTAAGAATAAAGGGTAAAATTGAACACAGCTCTAAATACGATATAAATGTAATTTGATAACACTTATCTCAATTTTTATTTAGTTATTTTAGCTCCACATGATAGGTATGTTAATTTTTATTGAATTAAAGTCGATTTTTGAAGAAAAATCTGTTTTCCAAATAAGATTTTAAACATGATTACAAAGATGCGGGATCCCGCGGGATCCGCGCGGGATTGGCCTAATCCCGCAAATGAATCCCGCGGGATTGAATCAGGTGCGGGATTGCAATCCCTAAATATAACGTATTTAGTTTAATTAGAAGATTAATTACATAAAGTTGCCTTGCCGCAACCATTGTATGAAAAATAATATATATTTACCCGATCGCCTCAGAAGGAGGGTTATGTTTTTCGAGGGTATGTATGTATGTGGACAAGAAAAATTTTTTTCACGGGCTTCAGCCCAAACGGATAGTTGGATTTTGACATATGAAGTGTCGTTAGATTTGTCTCAGCAGCGCGACTGACACTGGCTATATAAAAAAAATTCAAGATGGCGAATTTTACAGCAAAATACTACTTCAAAATTACCCGGAGTCGGTTTTTTTTGTTCTTGAACACGTCTACTTGTTTAAGTAATAATATTCCTTCTATTTCTTAGATTAAAGTTTGTTGCCCAAAGTTTTGAAAGCCAGAATAAGTGATAAATACTTAAATAAATAAAAAACTACTGTATAAAAAGTAGATTATTTTCTGCACGCACGGCACGACGACGCTCGGAATGTTTCATCTAGCAACAAAAATGTAATTTGAGAAAATTGCTGGTGCAGCTAAATCCTCGACCTTTGTCTCTTTAAAAACCTTTTAGCTTTGAGATGGGTTCGAGAGCGATACAGATGTAGGTATAGGGTACTTTCGTGGCACAGTTGTAGTGCAACTGCCTGCAATGAAGAAGATTCAGGGTTCGATTCTCAATCACCTCTATGTCAAGACATTGCAGGCCTTGTCCGAAAAGAAAAATAGTTTTAGCTACGGTATGCCATCGTTCCCGTCTCGGTTGCTGTCTACGATTACTTAGTTAGACGGTGGTCGTTATACAACTACTATGTCAGAGGCCTGCTACTTGTAGTAGGCGGTTGAAAAATTCTGATACCCTTGGTATCAGAATCGGGTTGTTGGACGACTCGATGTCCCACGCGAAGAGCGAGAGCCAGCAGATCAACCTACCCATTTAAGGGACGAAATTATGCTTAATTTTTATACAAAAAATAAGAAAAACCAGTGTAAGTTGATCCCATAGGTGGTGCTGGTGACAGTAAGGTCCACCCGCTATCATACTGTCATAACCAGCTTAGCAGGAGGCTAAGTTACTATGTTCGCAATACTTATATTCTACGCGACCAGCAGCGTAACTTGGCCTCCCGCTTCGGCTGGTTATGACAGTATGATAGATACCTACCTACTATCGACATCAGGCGCACTTCACGGTAACACAATCAGTGATTTTGCCGAGATAGCGCAGCTGAAAGAGCATCATAGATTGAAGATGAAAAATCGCAAATTAAATTTTCCGCGAAGGATACTTTGTTGAAAGTTATAAGATCTCGGTTAAAAGTCTTTGATTTGTCTGAAAAGATCATTTAAAACTGTAGATCACTTCAAAGAAAACAGGTTTAAACCAGTTGAATAGGTTAACTATGCTGGTGATACTTAACTATAGTTATGAACGATCAGCAGCACATCAACCTACTCATATTGTCACCAACCGATATAATACTTTTCTGTATCCGAACTTGTTTATACTTTTATGTATCCAAACCATTTTTCTAGTGTGAAGTTGGCAGCCCTGCTGCACTTTTTCAGTTGCGAATTTTTCTTGTTCGAGAAGTGTGTGTGAATTTTATAATAAGTGTCTTTCTCGGAAATAAATCTTATTATAACCGATTTCCGGGTTTTAGTGATTCAGATAGGCACACAAAATAACCAGTCAGTGACAAAACTGGTCATTGAGCCGGATCATTTGTGTTTTCGTTTGTGTGCTTGTTTGCCGTCGCAATGGCGGCGGTGAACAAAAGTGAATCAAAAGACGCCAGCAAATCTTCTCGATCCCGTCGCAGCTCACGGAAGAAAGCTGATTTACTCGAGCTTAAGAAGTCTTTGGACGAATTAAAAGAGGTGTTGGATGACAAGGAGCAGCTTCTGCGCCGCAAAGTCGCCGTTTTAGAGGACATGGCGGCGGCGTCATCCACTTCGTCATCAACACCTAGTTCAAGACATATTACAGTCAGCGAAGCTAGTATCACAGCCGATGAGGTCGGCTCAGAGCACGCTCGCACACGTGAGTGGGCTAGAAAACATGAAGATTTTTTTCACGGAGTCGTGGGCGACTCCCGAGACGGCAGCGAAGTTCCCGCCGCAGTGCAAAACAAATGACGGTGGTGGCGTAAGAAAAGAGGCGCCATCTAGCGGCAAAGACGAGAAAGAAAAATTCTTTTCTAGCAGTTGCCGGACTTGTGAAAGCTGTTGTAATAGTTCCGAAAAAAAACACAAACGTCAAAATCAGACGTCAGATTTGGAAAATGTAAACATAAACAAACTTGCATCTGCAATCCAAGGAATTGCCATTGGAGG